GGGCAGGCTGCTCATGGCCATTTGTGTTGCTAGGCTTGCAAAAATACTTTCAGTGAAATATTTTTAGTCAGAAAACTGATTTGCCCAAGCTTGTAACTTATGTTAATTTTAAAGAAACTTAATGAAGGGATATTTTTTTTTCAGGCTAAATGTTTGCCAGGAAAAAGCCACTCAACCCTGCAAACAGACTAGCCATCTGTTTGCCGTGATGTTCAGCTGGGATTTGGGGAGATCTGGGTGTGAAGTTGTATCCTAACAAATTATTTTTTTATTACTGCAGGGGAGATCCAGTCCTACAGTGGTGGGTGGCCCCGCACAAGGATGAGGGAATGGGAACTTGCCCCTGGAACAGGCAAATCCACAGTAGTCAGTCTATTTGGTCAAGTCAGATGGTTGGGCAGTCTCTCGCTCTCCAGATTTGAAAAGTTTTGTGTGTTTTTTGTCCCAATGCAGAATGGGCAAAATGCTTTAAATCACTTTTCATTCTGACCAAAGAAACCATTTCCTACAAGCTCAACCCTGAACAATAGAGCCTTGATCTTGATAGGGGGCTGTGGATGTTACTGTAATGCTAATACGTGGCGCGCTTGGCCTTTGCGCTTCTGGCACATTTCAGGCACTATATAGGGAGTCTGTAATCAGCGGCAGAAAAATTCCCTTCTGTCTCTCTCCTAGCAACCACTTCTGAACAGATATTTGAAAATCAGCTTGCTTTCTATATCATCATCTAAATATTTTCAACACTTAGTGTCATTAAAATTCTCCTAATAGTTTTGGGACTGAGATGATTTATCTTCAGGTCCTCAGGATTCCCTTCTAGTTTCTGTGGTCTTAAGGTAAAACTTTTGAACTTCATATCCGTTAGAAACCTGAGTTGTATCCAGATTTTGCACTTTTCTCTTGACTTTTACACTGGCTATATTTGACACAAAGTCAAATTAGTATACTGAGATCATAAGGAGCTAAAAGCAGCAAGGCCATAAGTCACGTAGACTAGTAGGAGCAAGCTGAGATCTTGAAAGGTATTTGGTTGTATTTTTGTTAAACGTTTTAGCATGTGATGTGTTACAGAGCTACAAAACCAAGCTGTAATCTTGACGCCGTATACACATGGTGTAGCTGTGTGCCTTGCTATGGAAACCAGGTAGACTGCTCATACCAGTATGAACCACTGGATTGCCACTGGAATCAAGAATGTAAAAGTCTATACCCATTAACTGCTTGTTCTCTTTCTGTAAATCTGAATAATGAAAAGTGTGGTGAAGAGAGGGTGTGGGCATAGAGGAATTCGTCTGGATAGAGTTGACTAAAACAAGGTGAGGGGTTTGTGGTCTTCCCCATAAATGCTGGCTGCGTGTTTGAAGTCCTGAGTGCTCACAGGAGCGCTTTCTGCAGGGATTTACATCAGCAGCTGATGAAAGGGGTGAATGGGAACCCTGGACGCAAACGTAGCTATCCTGGGAGAAACGCGCGGGGGGCTGCTGTGGACAGTCTGGTCACCGTAATTGTGGAAATTGTGCTCCAGACTCTTTTCCTGGGGCTTCCTGAAGCTGTTCTCAGTTTGCAGAAGACCCGGAGCTTTTCTCCTTCGTGGGAGCTACCTGGGTTTGCTGCAGGATCTGGCACCAGGCCCCATCTAGCTCTGAATGCAGGAGGGGAGGTTCATTGTGCCCTAGGCACAGCTGAGTTCCTTAAGTCTTGTGGGTCTCCGAAGTAGCAACTCTTTTTTGGATCTGAGACAGCTGATTAATTGCTGGCGTGTTTGGAACGGCATTCATTTGGGATTTGGTTGTAAGACTTTTGCCTTATGGAAAAAATCTGTCTAAGCTGAGAAAATAGTTGGGTCAGAGCCTGCGTTCTTTACTCTGGGATACATTGCCACGAGCCATGGTGGAGCTTTCTCTGGGAACGTGGTCCGGAAAGTCCTCCGAATGTGTCAAGCCCTTTCTGCTGTTCCCCCATCCTTTTCCCTTGTGCTGCTAGAGGGTTCCTTGGTACGGCTCTGTGGGATGGAGAAGCCTTGAGGTCTGCCTCAGGTTCCTGGACTTCGTGGGGTCCCAGCTCGTGTGATAAGCGTTTCCTGGAGATCACGTGTGCCAAGGCAATAGATCTGAAGACTTCCTGGAGTTGGAAAAAGCTTGTTCTTCTTTCTGTAATTGCTCCATGCACTTCTCCCACTAGTCCTCTCCATCATTTTGTTAGTGGCATTTCAAGGTTTTAAATTCCTGGACATCTCTACCTTTAGAGAAAACTTGGTGGAGAGGCAAAGGGGAAGACAGTTCACCCCACTTGTGTTAGAAAGTGAGAGTTCACATGGAGCTCACCTCATGCCCAGGAAGGAGGGCTTCCCTCGCTTCCTCAGTTCTGCTAGTGCATTTCCAGATATTTACCCTGTGTTGATACAAGGGCTTTATTGCTGAAATTCACTTTGTTTTCAGTCTGTCCCCAAACTCTCTATCATGTTAATGTGTCATGTTGTTCCCAAACGCAGCATCCGCACCCCAATACATATCCCTTTTGTGAACCTAACTCCCTTGCTGCAACAGGGAGAATAATCAAATATGGCACTGCATTGCTTACTAATAGTTTTTTGAACTTGGGAACACTAGGACTGAGTCTGAGTGCAGAAAGCTCAGCTTTAATTTATGGTTGGTATTAACTTGCAAAGCCGAAGAGCATAGAAGCTGCAGCTGCTCAGGAGATCAGGCTGGGAGAGCTGTTTTTTATTAAGTGGTACTTGATTTAGTCCTGAGTAAAACCATTTGTATTTAACCTGATCCGCGAAGCTGCTGTAAGTGTTAACATGCTTCAGTATTAAACATTTCACTCTGGGGCTTCATCATACATGGCGGGTTTGTGTAAGAGCCCATTTCTGAACCCGGAATAGTTATCTATTAGATGAGAGTGTACATTTTCAAAGGAACGTAAACTCAGTTGAACCTATATTTAAAACTTACTGTCACGGTACTGGGTGATGTGAAAAGATCTGGTGACGAGTGTCCCTTAACATCAGGTCTGAAGCAAGCTGCAGTACTGCAATGCTAAGCTACTCTCCGCAAACCTGTAGGGATATAGCTTTTCCCAGAGATGCCCATTGGATTTTAGCAGAGAAATCACTTGCGCTTGGCGCAGTTGGGCATCGATCTGCCCTTTGTGAGCTGCTCTTGGGTGACTGCCAGGTGCAGCGAACTACTTGCCATTTAACTGTAGGGTAGAGCAGCTTATGCTGAACCAAGAAAACTCCTGAGCCAAAACAAACCGCTATAAACTTTTCTCCCTCCCCATGAGAATGAGGGGAAGAAGGTTATTGCGTCCAAACTCTTTTGGAGCTGGCACTGTGGGAAAACTCTGCTCAATCTGGGAGTCATTGTACTTGAGGAACTGTAATAAATCCTGACGGACCCTGCAGATGAGACCTGGATCTCCTGCCTCTGGGTATGCACACCGACTGCGGGATTGACTTGGCACTTCTGGATACAGGAGCCTCTCAAAGTAGTTTGTGACGCACCTTAAACAGGCTTCATGAATCGGAATGTGCCATCAGGGATAGGTCTGAGCTGAGAATTACTTGTTCCTGGTGGTGGGTCCCAGGCAGTTACGTTCCCAGTGGGTCAGGAATATTTAAGTGAGTGTGTATGTGTGTGCCTGTTTGCTCAGTGACATGAAGGTGCAAGGGGGTCTGCGTAATTGCCGCAAAGTGGTAAGCTTCCTGGGCAAATTTTGTGCCTTGAAAGCAGAAAACCTTTTGCATCAGAGTGAAAAATCTTGGTTGTAAAAGGGAACCTGGCTTCAGTTCCTTTTAGCCTGAGTGTTTCTGCCAAGCTCGCTGCTGTGATGTTAAGGATCTTTTATTAGATATTCTGTGCCGTTGCCTGCTTCCCTCACATGAGGGTAGCCTCTGTGATGCACAGCTGAAGCAGTCTGAAGTTCAGGTGGGAATAAACCTTTGATTTTTCTCCTGCTCTCTGTTTTTTCTGATGCTCCCCTCATAATTCATATTAAGGTTATTGATTAAAGGTAATTGCTGTAGGATATTATTCACAATCCATTAACCCTGATTTATAGCAGAATTCTTCAACCAGCTTGGGTGCTGAAACATCACCGTTAATTGTCTTAACTGAACCTTACTTGAAATGAAGATTTCTTGCCTCTGTTTGTGATCCCTTCTTCCCAGAGCACTGGCGCTTTGATTCTTTCCTTTAAATGTTGAGAAATACAGTTGTTCTTTTTGCACTGTAACAGTGCCTCATAATCTTGCCCTTCTGCCATCTCTCCAAAGACGCAGTTTTTTGGTCTTGCAAGCCAAATTAACATGAGATTGCTGTAATTTGCATCGTAGCTGTGGGAGGCCATCTGACAGCGCCGAAGGCAGCCAAGGAGAATTGAATTCATCAGCTCTTGCATTTGTCAGAGTGGGGACTGGGGAGAGTTCTGCTCCTCTAATCTGGGCAGGAGAGTAAACATTTAATGTGAGTGGTTGGCAAGGGTGACTTTCTGCTTTGTGGCTCATCTCCTGAGCGCTGGAAAGGAGAGAGGTTTCTCCAAGTCCTGGCCTCACCTCCGAGCCTTGCCCCTGGGGTTATGTCTGTGTGCGATGAGGCTTGGAGCTGTTGCTGTTTCTGGATTTTAGCTCCCCTCCACCGCCTGAATATGTTCCCAAATATGTTGCTGATAGGGACTTGGTGTTTTCTTAAATTGGAGCTTACGCTCTGCAGAAGTAGATGGAGAACACGAAGCAGCTCTGAGGGGAAGGGAGGCATCGTCTCAAGATTGCTTAACGCAGGGGGAGGGATTCAGTGTGTAGAATTGGCTTGTGCTAACGTCATTGTGGTGGTGTGGTCGCTTAGATGTGTCAAGATGCTTAAATTGCATGTTGTAGGATATTCTGAATATTTGGGTTTAAACTATTTGGTTTGACAGGCTTCTAGCAAGTTACCCCTATCTAAGTAAATGGGTTTTCTTTCCCTGGACTAAATGTTTTCCTTTACTTGATGTATCAGTATTGAGAGTAAACACGAAGTCACGATCTTAGGAGGACTCAATGAATTTGTTGTGAAGTTCTATGGACCACAAGGAAGTAAGTATATGACCCAGCCCTTCTATAAAAACAAACTAATTGCTCATGGTGGGGAACAGTGGAATGACACATTCTTCTGGAGTGGAAGAAGAGATGAGCAAATCTAAGTGGGGGTGAGAAATCAAAGGGTAGCAGTGTTTGAAGGCTCTGTCAAGGATGGGGAGAAATACAACTGTGAGCATTAATGCAGATGAACCACCTCCCTTGGAGCTGAGCAGGGCTGGATACTGCCTTCCGACGACGAAGTCCTCTGCTATGGCCTTCAGCACCACTTTTGTTGATCCTTAACTTTTCTATACCCGGCTCATAAGTTTTGCATCAGTCATCTGAATTTTTGTGGAGTTTGTAATTAAGGTGGCTTTTCTAGTGACTAGCTCACAAGTCGGGTCTCCAGCGTGCCTTAATTTAGTAACATCTCTAAAGGTAAGTAGCTTATTCCAAAGTCTCTGTTTCTAATAAGGCTCTTGTGTCTTTGCTGAGATCTTCTGCAGTATCAGTTAAAATAATGTATTTCTTGTCAGGCAGCACAGGAAAAAACGCTTTTACCATAGGAGGTTTTATGTGAAATTTTACCCCCTGATGGAACTAAGCATTCTTCCCAAGATGTGTTTTGCTTAATGCTGTAGTTCTATTTATTCTCTCCTGAGTTATGAAGTGTCTAATACCTGCATTTCTTTCATTGCAGCACCATATGAAGGTGGAGTATGGAAAGTTAGAGTCGACCTTCCTGATAAATACCCTTTCAAATCCCCGTCTATAGGTAATCCATAATGACTTTCAGTCAAAATCATGTTACTGTTTATGCAGGAGAGATGTTACTGCTTGCAGCATTGTTGCAGGTGCAGTTGCACCAACCCTTAGGGCAATCATAAGCTCCTTATTCAAGTCTGCAGAATGCTTTTACCATAGACTTCCAGATATCACGTGCCAAGCAGAGAGGAAGTTTGGCCTTTTGGCTGAAGGACTAGGAAATGTGATTTGGTCACACATTCGTGTGTTGATGAACTGAGTCTCTCTACCATGTGCTTTTTTTAATAATACATCCATTCCTGGGTAAGGTGCAGGATACCACAGTGAGTGCTGGAGCCTGTTTATATAAAACGACTTATGTAGTATGGAGAGCAAAGACCACAGGGTGTGCTCATGGTCTTAGGGTGCACTTAGCTTTTGGGACGTCTTGTCCAAAAGTGGATGGAAGTGAAGGCAGGAGCTGGAGCCTCTGCCCTCTTGGACTAGGTGATGCATATGCAGAAGAATATAGAAGCAGGGACTTATCACCAGAAAATTGCAGCTGGCTAGACTGGTCAGGCTTGTTTAACCTTCGAGAGCAAATAGGAAGTTTGATAAGGAAATGTTCTTTAGAGTGTATCCATCCTACCTTTGTCCTTAGGTAATGGCAGTCTAACTCGGATGTCTTTGGGTACCAAACTTTATGCCAATCACTTAAGCTATAAATGAAATAGCCAATATTGCTTGAAAAACTGGAGCAGATGCATGAAGTTTCAACATCTGTATTCTGGCTTATGAAATTAGTATTAACTTATGGCTTATGAAATCTGTATTAACTCAGTGAGTTAAGTGCTTCTCCATCAGAAGGGTGTGCTTGTGGCTCCAGCCACCGGAGGACTCTAGCGAACGGAGAAAACCGCCTGAGGAGAACTGATGTGGAAACTTGACTAGATGGGTTGGATGAGATGGGTCCCTTCCAGTATCAACATCCTGATTTGGAGTTGATAAGTATTGGCTGCTTTCTTAAAATAGACTCTTATGCTAAGAGTGCCTTCTATTTAAGATCTCTCTCTCTGGTGTGAGAAATAATCTGTCTTGTTCCAAATGTGAACCAGGCCTTTTGGGAAAGAGCGACGCTGTTTTTACGCCATCCTTTACCTTTCTTTTTTTCTGCTGAAACCTTAACTGAACCACAGAAATGTGCACACAGCTGAGTAACAATGCAGTATTGCTGCAGCTATGCGAAGCCTTTTCTCCTTCCTCTTGAGTCAGCTCTCAAAACTTGCTGTGAACTCTTAGGTTAGAGACTGTTTACGAGACGCACAGTATGTTATTCTGTGCAAGTCGTTTTTCCCTCCCCACTTCTCAAGTGCCACAAACCAGTGCAGATCAGGGTACTGTCATGTTGGCAATCTTAAATGTGGGCTGGCTACAGACAACTCTCAGAAAGCACATAAAACCCAGTTTCCTTGTTGTTAATTGCTTTGGTGCTAGTCTACTCAAGATTATTCTTTCTCTCTCCTGATGTTCTTCCAGTGTGTATCTGAAATCAAGGTTGCTGGCTTAACGCAAAAACAAACTTTATTTCCAGTAGCTTATGAAGCCAATGCAGCTAAATGTTGGCCAGGCTCTTGTATATTCGTAGCGCTGTTGATTTAGGCTCCGGTTAGTTGCGTGGAAGGTGGTAGGTTTGACCTTTTGGTGGTTTGGCTTGGAGGCTGTTTAGTGCTGGTTGGGATAGGCAGGAGTAAAAGGCAGCCTGGGATCAGAGTTGGCCCAGCGGTATTTTCAGAACTGGCACCACAAGGATGGCCTTTCTCCTGGTGAACTGGGGGTGGGGTGGGTGGGTGTGCTGGGAGTTCTTTTCTGCTCAAATCACTGAGTTGCTTTGTCCTTTTTAATGTTGCTTTTGCTGTCTTCCTTTTAGTATAGCATCTTCTTATCCATCAGCTAGCGTATAGCCTGTGTTGCGACTGTGTTATTCCAGACTCATCAGACCTTCTAGCATGCTTCCCTTGCCCTGCGAGTCTGAGTGGCTGAAAACCACCTTTTCTCTCACTGAGCTCCCCAAAAGGCTGGCTCTTGCTCTAGGCCTTGCCTTGCTGTCTGCTGGCGAGGGCTGCTGGAAGCGCAGATCAGCTCCCGGGCGAAGCGGTGTGCAGCTGAGGTTTCAGGTTGAATAAACAGTCGAGGCTAGATGAGAGCTGGCTTAGCAAAGCAGGGCTCAGCTCTGCTGCAGGGAGGAAAGAGCTGGGCAGTGGAAGTGCCAAGGGGAGCACTAAGACCTGGAAAAGCTCCCAGCCAGCTGCGGGAAGAAGTTTATTTTTCTTTGTCTGGTTCCCATTTCTGCTGCCCCAGCCCAGCTTATCTGGACAGCCAGGTCTGGGTGATGTCTCAGCCCCTTCCTCTGGGCCAGCCCGATCTTCACACCGCTGCTCTCGGAGGCAGACTCGGTGTGCGGTGCCTGATACCAGTGGTTTGGGCATTAGAGATAACTCCAGAGCAAGCCTTCGTCCCAGCTGAACCAGGAGCATTCACAAGCTTGTAAATGAGACAAGATTCTGTTCTCTCCCAGGTCTGCCTGTTCCAGTGAGCATGGGTGTCCTAACACAGCAGTCCTCAGCCAGCTTGAGCTCTGGATAACACAGGGGTAGGAATTAGTCGGGAAGAAATTTGCCATGGCAATCTCTGATCTCTAAAGAGGTGGAAGTGAAGGTTTTCAGAGATGGCGGAGCCCGTAAATGGACAGAAGGTCATCTAGAGCACACATGTAGCTTCTTTCCAGCCCTTCTGTTCTCGGCACCACATAGCTCCCACTGCGGTGATGACATGCAGAGTTCAAATTGTCTGTGTAAGTCACTGGCTTGTATAAAGTATAGAATCCAGCAGTTTCTTTTCCTTTAATAAATTATACTTTTATGCTGAAGCTTAAAGCAAAAATGCTGCCCTTGCAGCTTTCCTTGTTCCTCTAGTACTGTAGGCTAAAATTTTCTTTCCATCTTAGAAAATCTTAATGCAGTCTTGAACGTGGCATGGGCTTTTTGCAGCAAATAACATGATGGCTTGAAGCATATCCATGCATTCTAGAAAGCCGCTTCTGAAAAATGACTGTTAATAGTTGCTTTCTAATCTGTTCAGATTGCTTTTATCCCAGCATGGCTCTGAGTATAAGGTACATGAAAACTTGGTGTTCCCTTCTGAAGTGCGACTGACAAACCTGAATAGAAAAGGTTTTTAGAGTGGGTTCCAGATTTGCCATCTGGAAAGGTGTGGACCTTTTCTTTAAACCCTGAGTGATTGATGGTCCTCGTCACCTTTGACGGTCTCTAGCAAAAGCCTTCGTGTGGTATGGTGGTTCTTTTCGTGCCAACTCTGCTCCCTTGTCCCATCCACAGCTGCCTTCTCAAATACGTGTGGCATTTATTTCCTGCCCTTCTCAGGTTGTTAATTATTGTTGTAGTCTATTAAATGATGCCGCCCCGGGGACAGTGCTCACCTGACAATGCCAGTAATGCCTCTGCTTAAAGACCTAAACCATCCTGGGATCTGTGTGAAAAGAGCAGTTCCTGGGAGAGCTTCCAGTGTTCCGTGACGTCCTGCCAGTACCTTTCTGGTATTTCTGGCACTGCCTGTTCCTTGCTTGGTCTTTGCTGAGTAATCGGACAGATCCCCTATTGGTGCAGGATGACTTTTCCTAACAAAAGCTATATAACATACAGTAAAAAGGAAGTGCGCATCCTAGAAGGACACGAATCTAAACGGAGCCAGATGTAGGGCTGTCATGTTGGCTCTGGGCTTCAGTGGTCCCATTGAGATGAACTAACTCCACTCGTGATCCCTAAATATCCAGATCTTCAGGGTTGAAACGGATCTCTTGAACTTATTTGAGCAGTTTGTTAGAACAAAACCAACTCCTGAAAAATACCCAGTTGCTTTCTGAAGCTGGTGAATGCTGCTGCTCTTAATGCCTTTGTCAACTAATATAAATATTCCTGCATGCTTATGAGGACCCAAATATTTGGTTCCATTTTTGCTTTCTCCTAGACAGTATATTTTGAGCTATTTATGATTTCAGTAACCTTGCTGGCACGGCTTCGCTACTTTTCCTTTCCCTCTGGGATTTAGTATCTTCAGGGGAACTTTCTGCCTGGTCTGTTCCTGCTTTTTCAAAGGGGAGTTGTGAAGTACTTGAAGTACTGTTTTGAGCTCCCAAGTCACGAGAACACTTTGTGTAAATTTTGTATGTTTTTAATCAGTCCATATGCCTGCCAAGAGCTGGAGGTTAATGGTCTTTGATGCCATAAACACGGGAGGAAGCACAGAGTGTGGATGTCCTGCCCTGCTTGGAGGACAGGAGCAGTAGAAACATGTGAACCTGGGAGTCTGAGCTCTTAACCTGGAAGCACTGTGGCATTTATTTTATTGCGAAAATCTGCAGAAATATTAGGCCAGCACTGAGTCACTCTGGTTTCTTAATAATCAAATGTCACAGCTACAAAGTTTGTGTACAATATGCTCAGAGCCTCAATTTCTCAAATAACTTCTGTATATTTATACACAGTCTCATTTTCCTTCCATCTCTGGCCCAGTTATCTGCAGATATCTTGCATTTACATTTCACCTTTCTCCTAAGTGTTTTGCAAAACAAAATAAGCAGTATGTACACAAAACAGATGGACCTGTGTGTATATGTGTACGTATGTATATAATGAGATATTGTGGCAGCCAGTACAGGAATGAAGCAGTGTTTGGCTCCAGCCAGGATTTAACACATATCTCCTGGCTGGTCCTTAATTTTTCTTTTTAACTGCAGCTGCTATTTTTACTGTCAGCTCCTTGCTGGATTGCCTTACATTTTGCTACTTAGAATTTCATGAGTCACTTATCGCCTGTGACCATTCCGAGCTTGCTCTTCCCTGCGTGTGTTGATCCTATAAGCAATGTGAAAATGCTTGTTCTTTCAAATACGCTTAGCTTTGTCTAAGGGGAAAGACGAGACACCTAAGGGTAATTTGTATCCTTGTCTCCACT